CCCAGGTATTCAAAAGTTGGTCCCACGGTATGACCAATGTCTCAATTCTGGTGGCGAATATGTTGAAAAATAGCTGGACACTTGCTGTATCTGTTGCAATAAATATTTCCATGAAATTGTGTTTTGTTTCTGTAAACGGCCCCAGGGAAACTTACTTTGTGGACGAGCCTCGTATGATCCTTGACTACCCTGGCCTCTATCTGTCTCGCAAGGGGAATGGTAGGAATCCACATTTTAGTGGAAATATCCATTGGGTGGTGCTTCTATTTACCATCTGATGACAGAATGAATAGGAAAATATTTTATTTGAAGTGTAAGGAGAGGAATCATATGGAGCTTCTTAATTTATATTCTCATAACTCCGTGGAGCAGAGTCGTATTTGAGAAGCTAGTATTATCTGTTACTCAGGAGAAAAGCTTTGACCTTCGCAGTTCAGACATGTTGGGGTGGGGAGTGAGGGTATATGGATCTTGTCAAAAACATAAGACTTTAGCTGTGCATAATATTTTCTCAACTGGAATAAATTGTATATCAAATCTAAAACTTCTTGACGATGGTGAAGAGTCAATTGAATAAAAATTTCCTTGGATATTATCCATCGTCTAGTAAATATAAAACTCGGACCTGTCCGTACCTGTCACTGCAGCAGTGCAAATGAAGACTTGGAATGCAATCAAGTCGCTGTCGTAGCATGTTGAATGCCTCGGTCTGAGGCAGTAGCATCAGCAAGCCATACAGTGCCTGCACCAAGTGCTGATTGTGCGGTACCTTGAGCAGCTCAAGGCGCAAATCTGGGAGGTGGGGGGGGGGAAAGAAAAAAGAGCAGTAACATCCATCGATCTATAAACAATTTGAGATGGCATTACAGAACAAAGCATCATACTTCAATTTCTCATCATAATTTATTGTATATAAAGGAAACCTTGTCTTAAAATTCTTTAATTAATTCTATATACAAACAAGTTAACACAATAATTCAGGCATGCTTACAAGAATTTGAACTTTTATCTTTGTTAATGGTGCCAGAGATGTCAAGAGTTGACTGGAACCAATGATCTTTGACCCTTGCGCCATAGAACCTATTCTCTTGCAAGCAGGTTCCCAGAATCTGACTTCAGCCTCAGATAAAAAGAGGGGGTTTCAAAGAACGGATTATTTTTTACAGATGTAATAGTATTACATGAATTGTAATGCAGCTGTGCCTGAATCATCAGTGAGGAGTTAGTGATCAGGTACTTACATATGAATATAGGAGATTCAAGTAGTTGCACAAGTTTGTCAATCTCTGTCAGGAAGTCGACTGTAACCTCTAGATTTGCACTGAGCTCAAGTTAAGGTTCCATGTAACTTCAGGGCAAAATTACAGAAATATCACTGCACTTAACAAGATGTCTCTCAAAAGCCTTTCGTACTTGAATGCCAACCTGACGTTCATTTGGCAGAGGGGGGAAAAAAATAGACGATAACCTTAAGATGGATCTCAAGGATATAAGTAGTGGGGATAGGAGATGGTTGAATCTGGCTCAGGATCCTATTTAATGGCAGGCTTTTATATTACCAATTTTTAATGTTTGATTTCTGCTACTACAGAGTTAGTTTGTACCATAAAATTCAGAAATAAGACAAGTGCCGTTGAGGCCAGGATCAAGGAGCATGAACACCACATCCGGCTCGGGCAGCCCGAGAAATCTGCGGTTGCTGAACACCGCTTCAACTTGGAACACAATATACAGCTAGAGGACACTTCTATCCTCTCCTCAAAAACCGGCTACATGGATCGGTTAATCAGGGAAGCCATCGAGATCGAACTTCATCCTGATAACTTTAACAGGGAAGATGGACTTCACCTGAGCCGGTCCTGGAAGCCTCTTATTCACACACTCCGAGGACTCCGAGAACGAGCAAGAGTGCGCCGCCAGAACCAACCAGACCACTAACTCGGCCCTTTTCAGGGCCCTTATCCATACAACCAAACTCACCTTTCTCTCTCTACTTTCTCTCCCTCTCCCACTCTCGCCCACGAGCTACCATTGGTCCACTCCCATACCTGCTCCCATTGGCTCGGGGCAGGCTACACCTTTCACTTCCCGGCCTATAAATCCAGCTCCTCACACCCTATTGGCATATTCATCGCCCTGATGACGGAGGCAGTATGACCTCTGAAACGTTGGTTAACATCGACCAGACTACACAGCGCAATAACCCAGAAGACAGAAATCTTCATACTCACCGCTGTGAGAACCTCAAGTCTTACAAGTGCACATCTGTGTGGATAAATGAAGCTAATACTGAAAATGCACAAAACTGTAATTACTTGCTGAATAACATTTTTGTAGTAACTTTGAATTATAAGTTTCTGATTTCACTGGTTAACTTAGACTTGAGTTATCCCATGTTAAGGCAAACAATCTGTTAAGGATACAATATTCGGATCAGATCACACACATGACTGTAGTTCTGGGTAAGTAGACAGAGGGCAACAGTGGCAACAGGGTTGTGAGCCCACGACTTGTACAGGCAGCAAAATAGCAAGCAGCTGTCCTGAAAAACAAAACACAATCACCTTTACTGTTCAACAACAAATAGAAATCTCATAATTTAGATTCTCCCACACATTCAAATATTCTTATCAAAGCAGTCACTAGTGAGAATTTAATAAATAATCTAATTATTCAACTTGTGGGGTCAATTATGTTTCAGTGAATATTATAAATAATAAGGCCCTATCTACTTTCTCATAATACATAAAACAAACGAAAATTTTAAAATGAAAGTAGGATTTGAGGTTCTCACAGTGGTGAGTGTAAAGATAGCTGTATTTTGGGTTATAGCCGACCACCCATTTGTCATATATGTGGCCACCAGTGATCAGATAGTAGTAGTTTAAAATTTGTTTAACTACTCACTTCAGTCTTCAAATCTTTCAACTTAGTCCTGAGCTCAAACAGTTCTGACGACGTGAGAAGGATCGTGTTGAGGGTCTCAACCATGGTACTGGCAAACTTGAGGTCCTCCTCATGAAGAAGTATTTCTGATAATGTCCTGTAGATATCCTCAGAGTTCAACAGAACACACAGTTGCCTGAGAATTTAATACAATCATTACATAATGTAAAGTTGTATCAAGTGTAGTTATATTTTTATTTGAAACCCAGAACCTACTAAATATGATGCAGGAGTGCCAACCACTTGGCTGTAACGTTCAATAAATAAATATAATTACAGCCTAAAGGAAATATGTAGACACCCAGAAATTTTCAGTACTGAGATTTTGCTGCGTCACCCAGAGAGCTATTATGTATCTGACCTAATGATGAAGGCCCCTCGGTCCTCTAGAAGGTGATGCCTGTCAGAGCTGAATGACCGAAGGAGACTCACGATGAACTTCGTGAAGTATGGATTCATGGAATGGTTCTTCCCTGAGTCATGTTTATCCAGTAGCTGATTCACAGGGACTGGAAACATGACAAAACAAATATGACACAAACACGCAGAAATCTGTTTGATACGTATTATTATTAAACAAGTTTGCAGACGTATATTCTAATTTGGAGTGCACGTATTTTCTAAAAGCAGTATTTACAGTTTTTCATACTTAATTTACTTCAATGTTCACTTATTGCACACACAAACACTTTGTCATACTACAGATACAGGAAAAAAAAAAGCAGTTCCACTACACATCATGTAGGTCATTCTTGGGGGGAAAGGAAGTGTACCTCCTACTCATTCTTCACCTCGGGAGTAGATGGGGGTGAGTGGTCAGCATCACGCCCCAGTTGCGCTTTACCCCCCAGGAAAGGACCCCAGTACCCATTGGATAGGAGGCTGGGTGGGCCCCAGAGCCAGTCTGGATGCAGAGGCTAGAGGAAAAATCCTCTGCCCCGTCGGGGATCAAACCCCAGTCGTCCAGCCTGTACCTAGTCACTACACTGACTGAGCTATCCCGGCTCCTTCTACAGATACAGAATGGGGACAAAAATTATTTCTTACATAAAAATTTCAAATATTATTATGTGACCTGCAATTTATTTTGCATGCTAATACTACGATGGCACGATAATCACTTACAATGTAGAGAATAGTCACCGGATGAGGATAATTTCTTGCCAGTAGGAGATGAAATTATCTCAGCAAGGACTTCCAGAGCCTGCTGGACCACTTCATCCGAAGAGTCTGAAAGAGTCCGAAGTAATACCGGGAACAACTCATCAACATGCCTGAACATCTGTATGGAAAATCACAAAAAATACATGGATTAAATGCCAGAAGAGAGGACAAGTGATTCCTCTGAACTCCCCCCCCCCCACCTAAATAATCCATAAATATCAGTGGTCTTGGGGGTGGGAACATGCTGACCAATTGCTCAGCAGATGCATCACTAATATATGCAGTCATGGGCAGTTTTCCAGCTGTTTGTGTGTACCTTGTTTGGAATTCTGATGTGCAGATGGTAGATCCAGTGCAGGACAGCAACCTTCGTCTGCACTGACGTGTGCAGCAGGTGTCTGATTAGTACATCCACCACAGTAGGCAGGTCAAGCTCAGTCGTAACACATTTCTTTTGCGTCTGCAGCTCCCGGCCTTAAAAGAAGTTAAAATGTTAATTTTATACAAACGGAGCTGACAGTCAAACACAGAACTAGAAGAATATTCTACTGGCATTCAAGTTTCTATGGGTTACACGAGTGGCGAACAAACTTTCTCGAAAAAGGGGCCAGTTAGGAAACTGAACTCTTGTAAATAAAGTAATAAAACTTCAGGTTTCAACTCCTTATGAATCATTAAATGTGTGCTAATACAGGGCTTCAAAAGTACTTAAAGTAGAATAAACTTCAAAGCTTTCTACAAGTTATCGTCTGTTATTACAGAACCAGAAGTCATATCACTGATATTTTGATTGGAAATTGCATCTGTGAATGTTACTTGATGGAGCTGCCTCATCTGCTGGCTCCACCATCTCGGAACCCTCCGGCAAATCCCTGTCATCCTCGACAGTGATGAGCTTCATCATGCTGAAATTCACGGCCCTCGCCGTCTCTTTGATGTCTGAGGATCATCTTGTTAAGTATCAAAATCAATGTGATCATGACAACATAATGCAATGAATTCCTATTAAATGACAAAAGTTAAGAATCAAGGTGCAATCATCATAAGGATCTAGTGATCTGGGGGGGGGGGGGGACTTCACTGCCAAAGGACCCAGGTTCAAGAACCAACACATATGTTGTCCACGTGCCACTATGTGGTCTGGACGCACGTTACCTGCAGGTTTCCTCTGTTTACCTTCATCCTCACTGACATTTCCCACCATCAAGCATTTTTGTTTAATATGGTCTCATACATACTCTACTTCCACCTCAGGTAGGCAGAGACCAGTGACATTAATAATCCCATGTTTATCAATAAACATAAAACTGAATACAATATGTATTATGTTTTCTTAATCCTAAACTCACACGTTATATGATGTAAAATGAACAATAAAAAGCTCTAAAATCTTTTGAGTCTTTTCAAAACGTATTGTTTTGTTCCTAAATGAGCAAAATTTGTATTTCTTATAAGGATACTTTTCTTTGAGTCACTATCGTAGGCAAGGCATGGGAGAACGGCAGTAAGGATTCCAGATGCAAATGGAAGCATCACTCTGCCAGAAAGTTGGACAAATTCCTTGATCCACGTAATAGCTGTGGACTAGAACAAGAGACAACACGACGTTTAGATACGTCACAGTTTAGAAATCATCCAAAGTTCACGGCTTTCCTTACCATTTGCTGGATGCTGAAATATTATCAAATGATTTAATTTAAAATTCCTGGTTTTTGTAACTAACTTTTAGCAAATAACTTAACAACCTAACTACTTGGTCCAAAATGCACAACTTACTCCATGATAAAAAATCTACCTTGCAATATTGATAGTTACTCAGTTGATCAAGAAATTATGTTTTTTAGAACTGGAATGTACACCACTTTTTCACAAATCATTATTACTAGACCCATCTCTTTGCAAACATCACAGCACTTTTGAAATTGCACTAAAATTGTTTTTACTTTTTAACTTTCTCCCATATATGTGTGTGTGTGTGTGCGCGTTCGTGCGTGTGTGTCAGTCTTTATATGCAAGTAGCAATGTAAATCACCTGTAGTACTTCATCTGGAGCCTGAGAATGTGCGATCACAATATTAATCATTCCAGCAAAGTCCACACGGGATGGATCCTTCTTAATACTGCTGAGGAACTCCCCCAGAACCGTGTCACACCTGACTCGGCACATGCAAAATTAATGGTATGGTTAGTTCTTTGCTTCTTTAACTTCATTTTATCAACTGCAATGGTTGCATAGCATTGAACAATACTTGTGAATAACATGAAAGAAGTGGCTTTTTAGAAGGCACTGTCCCAAAACACGCCTCGACACAAACAAAAATGGATGACGATAACCATGAGACACAGTGGTTAGTGACTACCCACATTGTTTTAATTTCCTTTGTGTGATCCTCGAGGATCCGGAACAGGCCATCCAAAATCTCAGGAAGGAAAAGAATGATATCAATATCCGGAACGGCGTCCAGTACCGAAACCCATGAGATGATAAACTGGCGAGAAAACGTGTTCCTTGTGTATATCTTCTCACGAAGCAATGGCATGAATGCCACCAGATCAAACGATGAAGTCTCCGTCACTATATCCTGCAATGAAAAGTAATTCACATTCGACATTGTTACACTCTCCATAATAATTTCTTTTTTTCAAATTTTGTAAGCCGTCTACAAGCTGAAAGGCAAATCTCACTTTCTTCCCTCCATAAAATACTATGTACTCTGGCAAACTGGTGCATGAGGTTTGCCATATTTGATAATATGTGTTTATTGGTGCATACTAAAGAGACTCAAGTATATGGTCAGTTTACTGTAAAGGTGTCTTATACATGAAGCGATACTAACCTTCATCAGTCTGTCCAGTAGTTCCGAGCCATTTTTAACATTCTGATCAGGATCTGCGGCGAGTTTGCTGAGTGCATTGAAGATGTCAGTAAAATGAGGGAGCACAGAACCTCTTGCAACCTTCACTACATTGTAAAGAGATTCACAAGCATAGTAGCGGACTCTCAGATCTGAGTCCGAGAAGCAGGCAAGAATAGGCTGGATCAATTCGTCTGTGTAGAGGGCAGTATCCTGGTGAAACACAAGAAATAAATCGCTTTGGTTTGCGATGCTCCAACGTAGCTACAATTTTAAACATTTGTTTAAAACGGAACGTCAGGTGTGCTAACACAGCAGACATATGCCTGATTTGCATTTTGGAGATATCTGGTTAAAAACTTGACCACGTACCAGCTATCCAGAGACTCTTTTACGGTAACTCCAGGAAAATCCATGACTGCTTGTTTCCATATCCCTTTGAATTAATTATTTACTATCATCCAACCACATCTGATTCACTGTCATATAATCATACCAGATGACAGTATACCTGGTCTGTGGTTTAACTTATGCTGGCCCAAAAATCTAATTATTTGTGTTTTTTGTATTTTATACCACAACTGGATATTTTACAGCTAGCAACTTGTTTAATTTTTCATTTCCTCCTAGTGACAAAATAGTTTCTACCCAATATTGCTGTGTTCTTGTTCATATTTACTATCTATATGTGATAAAAGTTCCCAGGGGTTTAGAATGGGATTGGTCCAGAAAAAGATAAGATTAAACAAGAATACAGAAATGTTATTAATGGGCCATGCCTCTAGCAAGGCAAGGAGTGCCCAGTCCTACAGTCTGTATGCTGAAGTTTATGGTAACATGAAACATACCTTTCCCAAGGCCACAGCCATAGCAGCCAATCCAATAAGTCCACCTTTCTTGGTATTAGTGTTCTGTGATGTGGCAAAATCTTGACCCAGAACTTTAAGTAATTTTTTGATTTGCACTGTATTATTAACACGTGCAAATTCCTTAACCATCCTAATAGCAAGACAGATAAAACCATTGTTATATCAACAATATATTTCAGCTGCATAATTTAATGGGAAGTCTAGATGTGATAGATAAACATTTAGACTCGAAATGACTATGAGTGAAACCTCTTAACGTAATCTGAAGGAAAAGAGAGGGGAACGGTAGAAGTGGAAATACATGTAAATTGGGAGGTCATAGAGATTTTGAATGACTATGCCCTTCCGTGTACTTTCAACAATTTATTGAAGAGGTGTGCACCGGGTATTGGTTGGGAAGCCTGAGGGGAAGAGACCGCTGGGGAGACCTAGACGTAGATGGGAGGATAATCTCAGGCGGGATCTATGGGAGATAGGAGTTGAAGGAGACTGGATTTTGTTGGCCCAGGACAGGGCTTTGGTTAATTCGGTGATGAACCTTCGAATTCCGTAAGCCATCTGGTTGGTTGGGTCCACTATTTGGGAAGCCTGAGGGGAAGAGACCTCTGGGGAGACCTAGACGTAGATGGGAGGATAATGTCAGGTGGGATCTATGGGAGATAGGAGTCGAAGGAGACAGGGTCCGGTGGAGGGCTTTGGTTAATTCGGTGATGAACCCCAGGGTTCCCTAAGCCATCTGGTTGGTTGGGTCCACTATTTGGGAAGCCTGAAGGGAAGAGACCGCTAGGGAGACCTAGACGTAGATGGGAGGATAATGTCAGGCGGGATCTATGGGAGATAGGAGTTGAAGGAGACTGGATTTTGTTGGCCCAGGACAGGGTCCGGTGGAGGGCTTTGGTTAATTTGGTGATGAACCTTCGGGTTCGGTAAGCCATCTAGTTAGTTAGTTATAGCAATGAAGAAGTTTAAAGATGGCGGATTGTAAGGTTAGGTTAACACAAGCAAAATGTTTAAACTCACTTTTCTATTTCTAGAGCAGCCGCTTTTCTTTTCTCGTACAATTTATCATTTAGTGCCCTTACGCAGGCTGGACTTAAAGGTCCATAATCCCTTTCGGTCATCATGTTCAACTACACTTTATCAAATATTATATCGCAGATAACAGTAACCTAAACTCACGCCCATTCCCCATTGTGATGTGAGAATAAAGTTGGTACGTGCATATGTTCCATCTCTGCTACGAGTCGAAGTGACGTACTCTGGGATCACAAAAATACAAAATGTGATAATCTGTTCAGAGCTTCTAAACTAAAGCAAATTAGTTCATTTTTGCTACTTCACAAAAGAATTACCAAAAGACTACTGTATTAAAATACAGCACAAAAAGTTTTATTACCACATATAATAAGCGAGCTACCAAAATAAAAGTTGCTTGCCATGGTAATGAAAATTCTTAAATTAAAATTCAATTTCTACCTCACAATAAATACAAAGTGCCTCCATGCAAAGACAATGCTAAAATAAAATTTATGCACATGAATTAGGTAATGCAGGCAGAAACTAGCAGAAGAAAGCAATTAAAAATAATTTTTAAATTAAATATAAGAAAAACACGGTTCCCACAACATATCTCGAGCACGTACATCTTACTGTGTAGATATCGAGTTATTCTTTAGTCTAACATTTAAAGCCAAAATCGTGATATGGAAGTATTTGATCCAGGATTGATAGATTATGGATTAAAGCCAATAAATTCAGATTAAATTTTTTAAAACAAATTTTATTAAATTTTGTATTGCTAAGAAAAATAGGGTTAATCTAAGCATTGAATGTGAGGATAAAGCAATTGAACAATTAGCAAACTAAAGTTCTTGGTCTACAAATTTTGTTGGAAAACACATATTCAATACATTATGCCTGAACTAAGCTCAGCTTTCCTTGCTGTGAGGACTGTTACATCACTCATGAAAAGAGAAACATTAAAATCAGTCTTCTTTGCTTACTTTAATTTCATTATGTCATATGGAATTATCTTCTGAGGAAACTCAACAGACAGCAAAAGAGTATATTATATTTAATAGAAAATCATTAGAATTCTGGCAGGTGCTAAAAGGAGAGCCTTGTTTAAGAGTTACATAAGAAATTTAATATTCTTCCTCAAGCCAGTGAACTATTGCTTTCATTGTTATCATTTGTATTTGATAACACATGAGAATTTAAAACAAGCTCAGATATCCACAATATAAGTACAAATACAGATACAATCTTCACATGCCAAACACTGATCTAAGTAAATACCAAAAAGGAGTTTACTATACTTGAATTAAGCCAATCAATAATCTTCATGCCAGTATAAAAAGTTTGAATCATGATGTAAAGAAGATTAAGCCATCTCCTATCTCACTCCTTCTACTCCATGGAAGAATTTACATCAACCAAAAATTCTCAACTATTATAAATACATGTAAAAAATAATGGTGCTGCTGTCTTGTGTAATTATTTTTGCTGTAATCCTGTAGTAAACTGTAAATAACGGCCAAAACTATGCTATTTATATTTGTACTAGAAACAAATATTGTATTTGTGCTTACTTTTTCCTATATGTTTGACCTGTGAAGATCTATGGACTGTATATAAATTCTGTTCTATCTATCTTGCTTCTTGTACTCTGTAGAAATATTTACTTCATTTGAATTTTTTAAATTTTATAAATATTTATGTAAATAACTTTAACAATTATGTGTTTATATTAGTGTTGGTATTGTATTAGTATTATAATATGTTTTACATTCTTGCCTTTCACTAAGAAAGTTCTTTGGAATGTAAATAAATTCTGTTTATTTGATTCTATTCTATTCTATTCTGTTTTATTCTGTTCGGTTTAATTTTGCTTTTGAAAACGCACCAGAAATTAGGAATATGTCTATAAAATTTAGCGTGCGATCAGGAGTTTAAAATTTGCGCGATTGTTGGTCAAAAGTGACGTCACGAACAGTTTGGTTCCAGATTAGTCTTCCCTTTGACTATATCTTACTTTCATCCTCCATAATTGCTCGACATATGGTTTCTCTCCCCTCCACCTGTCACAGCCAACTAAAATGTCAACACAAGTATTAGTATCATGATCAACACAAAACTCAATGAACGTAACCTCTCCGTTTATCCCTTGTCAACATATTCATTGTCAAAGTGTTATTCTTGTAGCCCAATCTAATTTTTAATTTCTGAAATGATTAACATTGAATAATAAAAAAAGTTATGAATGAACAGGAGTGGTAATTTTTATGCCTCTTACAAGCGGAAGTCTATAACTCTGTGATCATTTAGTAGAATTTGTAAACATGGCGAACTCTCATAGTCATACGCGTTTCAGAATACTGGAAAAGTGCCCGAAAACGTGAGGATGGAATTCTTTTCTAATGTACAGTACTTCAAGTGAATATAAAAGAAGTTCATTACCAAGTAAAAAAAAGGGCGAGCTCTTGAATGGCCTAATTTCGGACATAATGAGCATTAGAATAGTCTGTTAAGGAATTTTGGCTTGGAGCAGGCCAATTTTGTATTCTAAGGGCTAAAGTCGTCGGCGCCAATTCAAGTGAATTGTACAGACTTACGCATTGTCTTGTAGATACGCCAACAGCTTGCAATCGATTTGTATTCACTAGAAGTTACTGAGTAGTGTGTGGCGAATTTTGGACAAATAGACGTTTGCAGATTATGCTTATGAGTTAATTCATTCGAGGTGTGGGTTCTTCTTTATGTTTGTGGATAGGATAGCTGTTAAGCCGTGTAATTACTACACCAAACACCGCTTATTCACAATGAAGGCTTTAGCTCATGTTAGGTAAGTATATTCATTTATCAATAATATCTTTTCTAACAACTATTTAAGCTATAACATTTTATTGACAGACTTTGGACCTCACACAACGAACATAAAGATGAACACTAGAACATTGGAATTAGGCAATAACCCACACATATGAAGGATCTATGGAATGTAAATAAATTTTATTCTATTGTGTATGTGCATCATTGATTAGTGTATGTGATATGCACTGCTAATATGAGTGGTCTCTTGGAAACAGCATTCCGCACAAGTCATAATAATCAACATAATGATTCCCATTTGTTGACATCAAAACACCAGTTTGCTAGCAAGATGATGCTTTCAGTTTTAACTCACCGTGTTCAATACCTATAGTTATCTTAAGTTATTTTGTCATTTATATTTACACACTTTCAATAATTGTCAGATAATTTTCATATACTATGTAGTCAGTAGTTTTCCTAAAGCAATGTAAATAAGATACCCCTGATGAGGGCCTAACAGAGTGGAAACATGTTGGGTAATAAACAAGTAAATATGTGATCATAACTCCTTTAATTCTAATAGTAATGTGTCACATTTGACAGCTGTAATTGATTAATTTATAGACATAGAATGCAATGGTGAATAATTGTGTTTCAAGAAAATTTTTAAATAACATTTACTATTTGATGACTGACGCAACTGTCTCTTGTAAAAATGTTGTTCTAATTTTTATTTGGTGGTCAGTTGCATATTCTGTTATTGAAATATCTGACATGCATATCAGCAGCGTCTTTTAACTACATGATTAAAGCTTCTTGGATGGTAAAGTTGCCTTGTACTGAAGCACCATGCCATGAAATTGTTTAGGATAATGGAGGCAAAACTCCACTTTGTCTTAACTACCTTGGTATTAAATGAGTAATGTATGAAATCTTGTATTTGTGTTTAATAAATTAAACTCATTAGGAACTATTTGGTACTTATGGCCTTTCTTCATGTGTGTAAAAACTTGATCTTTAGCCATTTTTTTACTAGGATTTCACGTTAATTAATGAAGCTGATAGCTCAGTCAGTTTGGTTACCTATTAATTAACTTCTTTACTGTCAGCAATATTGATATTGTTTTATCTGTTGGTTAATATGGTTCATAGTTATCAATAATAATATTTTGCTTGGTAAGGAATGTTACAGTTTATTAACTACATTTTCCTCAGTTTTATTAGAATTACGTCTGGGTTTTCTGGTCTTAGTTTCATTGTTACTTTGATGGTAACAGCACAACTATATACATCTTGCCATGATGTTTCTCATGGCTCAAAAAGTTTGTTAGCTAGAGTTAAAAATAGGGCATATCCATTTCCTGTGACTAGTTTTGAAAAGATGAATACAAGTTGGTTAAAACATCTTCTGAAAGTATTTTAAAATGTTAATTAAAAGTCATCAACATTCACTTTTCCCAGGAAATTACAACATAAGCTTAAAATGTTATAGGTGTCTGTTCAGTTGCATAATTGGAAATTATGATCTCTGTTATTCTGACATGGAAACAGTTGCGTTGTTACATTTAAGTGAAGCATTTTCTTAACATGCTGGAAAATTATGGTATGATAGGCCCACATGTGTGAGAAGTGTTTATGAAAGGGCTGATGGAATGAAATGCGAATTTGTTAGATGTTAACACTTCTTTCTGTTAGTTTAATATGAACCACATCCATCTGCTATGTCTTGTACTTTTCAGGTGGGAAGTGTGCATCTAGTGACCGTGGGATATGGGTGGGTGGCAGTTTATATAGTGGTGTGGTGGCCTGCCATGCAGTCGGAGCCAGGCCGATACATCAACTCAGTGTCTGACCTATACGGCACGGACGAGATTGAGGTTCTTTTGGAAGAGATACGCGACCTGGAGCCTGCCAGCTGCAGACTGGAGGATATCCAGGACTTTGAGATCGCTGGCAGCCAGACGGGGGTGGCCACCGCGGCAGAGAACGACTGTGAGTCCCCAGCTGTCACAGTCCGGTCCTGGGACTCCCATGCCAACTATCACCATCAACTGCCTGGATCTTCCCCGACTGCTTCACTTTTTTCTGGAGTGATCCTGTACTGTGATGAATCTCATCTAAAGTCATCCACTGGAGTTGTACGGGTTCTTCTAGTGGTAAATATGTTCTCACTCGTGATGGGTTTTGAGTGCCATTGATATCAAATCCATTTATGTGGTATTACTGTAATTTTCCGTCTGTCATTTGTTTTCACCAATTCGTTCTTTTACAAACAGGATGCTTTCATAAAAAGTAACGTTAAGTGAAAATTCATTAAATGAAAATTAATTTCCTATTACATTTCATTCTATAATATCTTCATTAAATTACTGTGATTTGCAAATTATTGTGTATTCCCCAGTCACAAAATACAAGGGCAAGCAAAATATGCCCCACCAAATTCAGATTCGCTTGCAACAGTATTGTTAAAAATATGGTATTTATTGATTTTTAACTTTGTGGTGCCTAATATATTCCTCAAGGATGTATTTGACTCTTGATCTTGTTTCAGATCTCATCTGTTGCTTGCCTAGCTTGCCTCTGCTCCTCGGGGACAGTGAAGGCGGGACTGTTTATGCTTCCGTTGATCGGCCGCCTGCGCCTTATGATGTTTGTGACGGTGTTTAGCCTCCTCGTGACATGTTTGTTCATTTTTCTGGACATATCACACATTGTTTATTTCTTTCCATTTAACTGGGGAAAGGTGGTAAGTGGTGTGGTATTATGTCTTCTGTCTACTTTCTCATTGCATGGGATACAAGTTTTATTTAATATTATGTGTAATTTAGGCTTTCTCATTGCATGGGCTACAGGTTTTATTTAATATTATGTGTAATTTAGGGTCAGTAAAGGGACTGCCAATGGGTTGGGCAGCTAGGGCATTTATCCCAATAGGGACATTGTCACTGTTACCAGAATTTTTCAAAACCGTACCTGACTTCCTCTTGACCATAATATCCATAATCAGGCCGATACAGCCTCCTATCCTGTGGGTACGAGGACCTAGTTGCCAGATTCTGAGACTACCATTTCATGCTAGAATGTGTGAAACTTGACCTCAACGCTTGCTGTATTCTTATTGGTTTTAGGAACAAAGATATCTTTACCTGGCTGTAATATTTTGTTGTGATATTATCACAGTTTCATATTGTGGAACAGTATATGCTTTGCATTCAAAATAAACTTAATTACAAGTCTGGGTGTGCTGTTTTGATAAATTTATAACAGTGGAACACAATTATTTTCACCCCTAAAAGAGAAATAAAGCAATATAAAACATGGAGATTGTTACTATATATAATGTGTCCTAGAACACAACTGCATTTTAACCCTTTGAAGCCGTTCACCATTCTAAAGATCAGTCGGTTAACGTTGTTTAAGCCCTAGCATTTAACTTTGCTTTTAAGGTGTGTAGGTGTATAACACTGAACTGTACTTACTTCGTCAACTTGTGTGTTGCAGAATGCATTTTTCTATGTGAGTGTGAGTGTGCTGTATGTCATTGGTTCATCGCTTGTTATCCACCTCATTCACATGTACCACGAGTCCTATTCCTGGGTCCCTAAGTGGACACGGGATCAACTCCTAGTCACTGGAGTAAGTACTGGGAATTTTTGATTAGCCCTTATATTAGAAATATACAGAATTGTTTGTATGTGGTAAATACCCTCAGTGGTAGTTTTAATTACCTTACTGGTCTCTGTTAACCTTGAGATGTGAAGGGATCAGCGTCCTGAGTCGGATTATGGTACAGTGAGAATGACTGCGGCAGAGGGAATCTGCTTGGTGAAATGTTAAAACGTGATGCTGTCCGTGCTACCGAAGTCGTAGGCTTTTGCGCTGGTAAAGGCTTTGATGCGTGCAGGGGAAACGCTGTGCAAAGAACTGAATGTAAGATCCTCTGAATGAGAGTGTACTACTTTGACTGGCAAGTCCTCCTCTAGGTAAACTTCTACCAGACTACGTGGTGCTGCAACCCAGAAGGTAGCCATCTTCAGAGTCCCCTTCTGTGTAAACGTGACAAGGTGAGCATACCACTGCACTATAGAAACATGTAATGTGTTTTTTACTGTATCTATATTAAGTAATCTCAGTCATAAATTCTGGCTTAAGATGAAAGCTTTATCTCCTTTTTTGTTAGGCGAGTTTCTAAAGTGTAGTATGGGATCTGTAGACGACGTTATGTCCTTTTGTGAGGATGTCCCTCTGCACCAATATGGACAGTGACAGACTGTACACATCGATGCTTTGCCATCTTTTGACACTCCAGTTGTACGATCCTGCTGGTCACTGGGGAAGAGTAGAGTATTTGTTGATCGAACACGACTCTTTGATCTCTTAACCAGACGAGGGGGTGTTTAAAAACAAATTGCTGTGGAGAATATTTAGATCTAAGGCAGAAATAAGTGTAGGATTGCAGTGGGAAGCTTTATCAAATATTAGGATGGTCAAGTCAAGGAGAATGTGATCGGTGGGTCATATAGTGTGCGTAGGAGAGATCAGAAAATCCATAGGGATGATACTACAATGTAGAGCTGAAGAAACAGTGTGTAGAAATGTGGACTGGATTCATCTGGCTCAGTATAGGGGCCAGTGGTTGGTTCTAATGAGCAGTGTACAGAACCTTTGGGTTTCATGAATGACAGGGAGTATTCTGATCAGGTGAGTGACTGTCAGCTTCTCAAAAAGGACTTTGCTCTGATGTTGGGTAAGTACTTTGTGTGCATCCTGTTTGTCATCTGTCAGTATCACAGTAGCAAAGTGGCACTTTGAAAGCACGTGCCGAAACTGCATGTAGGGACTAATATTGAGGTGAATAATTTATTATTATTAGTTTTTAATGTTTTAAGTTTACTCTTTATTAAATTGAGTGTCCGCTGAAGTACTGGGAAGTTCAAAGGTTAACCAGTGTTGTATCCTCTGTTGCCAGATCTTGGGCTACCTGTGTGCGATAGAAGCATTAGTGCTCTCGATCATTACGAGGCACGGCTCGTTACAGTACAGTCCTGTGGACGAGGATCCCAGTCAAGTGACTCATCAGGAGCGACGAGACAGGGAACTACACCCCATGACTAGGTCTCGGTCTCCCTCGTCCACATCTTTGCAACTCCAAGTTCCTCCCACAAAAAATCAGCTGCCCTCTCAGCAGCAGAAACAACAGCATTGGGTTGCCCTAGCGTCCACTTCGGCTCCTGCGCCTAGAATGTGGCCAGTGGACGATGTCCAGCCGTGTTCTTCCAAATATCCGGACCCTTACACGGTCGCATGATAGTGCGCCATGCCCTAGCTTGTTAAACCTTTGCGATGGGTCACAGCTATTCTGTGACCCTTAAGGCACCATTGTCGCCACTGCCAGTATGATGATAACGATGCTGGGAGGAGGATGTACTATTTTAACGTTGTGGTCTTTTGCAATTCTGGACAGGCCTGTGACATGATGAATGAGGTTCTCAGTCTGTCACTTTGAAGTTTAGTGATTTCTCTTTTTTGAGTGGGGCTTTGTGGTGTCGAGTAGGGGAAATGTTTCTACAACTTGCGGGTAGATATAATATTGATGATGTAAATTTTGTGCATGTCACGTTTTTGTTCATTCTTGAATATTATTTTTTCAGTTTGTAGCTGTGAAAGAAATTAACAACTTGAATTTATTTTCATTTGTCAGTTCATTACCATTGAAAACATTTTGTAAAGCCAAACTTTAATGTCCAATATTATACTTAATGGCTGCTGTTTTAAACATTTCAGAAAGTTTATGTTGATTCTGACAAATAGTGTAATATCCCTCATTATCAGGCCATGTTGACGAAAGGAATGTATGATATTGGCAACGATGTTTGACAGGCTGCAGGTTGAAAAATGTTATGGAGGATACGGAGCTTTTGTATCTCTTTCAATGTGCAATATCAATGAATTAGCATGTCATTGTATTAATCGTACTTTGCTGGATCAAATCATTTGTTATATGAACTTTAATGGAAATATAACTGCAGTCTATGTACTTTCCCATCAAAACTCTGAATTATGATGTTACCATGCAAAACAGATATGGATGAGGCATAAAACATTTGCACAAAGATGAAATGAAAGTAACTTGTTTTGTTCCTAGATTAGTGGCAGGCCTGCCTAGAATTGCTTTGACCTTGACACGGGTAACAAATTGCGGTGTTGGCATTAGCAACACTGGTGTTAATAGAAAATGGTTGTTGAAACAAATGTCAGATAACTATTGTGGAATGCTGGATGTAAGTCCTAGAGGGAGTTTTAAGAAATGCAATTTGTGTTCTCTGAACGTTGTGTCCCTCGCAGACAGACAAATGAGTCTTTGCATTGTTCTTAGTCTTGTTGCTACATTGAACCCATAGTCACTTTCATTTGCTTTATTGGCTGAACTGTGTGTGCCATTCTTTGGATTTATATTAAAAATAAATCAAGTTGGCAGTCCTGTTCAGAGATCTTCATACTGTAAAAGGGTCTTGGATGTTATGTGTATGCTCAAAAGACAGATTATTTTAGTATTTTTGGTTTATAAACCTGTTATTAGTCTTATTTGTTACATGCATTTTTGTAATCATATTTTTGTGCCAAAGACCTTACCCAAGAATTTCTGCCTTGTTGTGTTACTCATCAGAGGGTTGAATCTGACACTGAATGTAGGGGGAAAACACCTAGAATTGGTCGTGGAAAATTTCAGATCAGGTTGACTTGTATCTACTTGGAATAATTTTCCAAACACAGAATAAGCCGGATGGCTGAAGATCAGTAGAAAGCAAATTTGGATGGTATAATCCCCAAATTTCAAGCTCCGTTTAAAATTATTGTTCCTTCTTCCTGATTTCAGTATATTTCAGGAAACTGAATTAATATAAATTGTTTATTTATTTATTTATTTATTTATGTTTACTATTTTATCTATTTATAATCTTTCTAAAAATGTTGCCACAAAATATTGTATCTTTTCAGCATACAGAACAAAATTTGATGTTCAATATTTTGTATTGTTCCTGTACAAAAGGAATGTAATTTAAAAGGAATAAGTAGGAATTTAGAATTCATATAAAAATAAAATATGAAAGGAACAATTAATTGCATCACCGTGGGCAGAACTTTTATTGTGATTCACCTTTTGTGTCACAAAGGTAACAGTTGCAACATTTCATTGACTTAACAATTAATATTGATTAATTCTTCTTATTGTGTATTTTAAATGAAAATTGAGATTTATTGTCCTTGTATACTCTTTGAAACAAGTAAGCCTCGAAGGAAATTTGGACATAAACCACTTTGTAATTTGTGGCTTTTCTTTGTTTTATTTCTTCTATTTAATTCACTTCACTTAATAGCAGAAATGGAAAGGTTGTGAGGCTTCTGGAATTTTTGTGTACCAGTAGTTTATAATGAAGTGACTGAGATTCTGTGGAAGATGTAGGTTAAACTTATTGAAGTGAATGATTAATTATATTTTAGTATTTCTGACATTCACCTCACATGTTTGAGGCTATTTATTCTATATTATTATTTGTATTTGTAAACACTTGTCATAAAAGGAGATTAGGTTAAGTTGGGTATGGAAAACTGTAATTCTTTCACCTTTCTGTTTGAAAATTGTACTTTAATGATTTAATGTAATATTTGGTACTTAGTAACAAGGGATTAAGTCAAACATAATTTGTATTGACTTAAGCCATTGTTGTAGATATTCTTGAGGTATGTGTCAAATGATAAAAAAATCATGGAGGCCATGAATTGGACATGTAAGAATTAGGAGGTTATGAAATTTAAAGATTATGAAGGCTATGCTTTGCACATGGTACTTTAATGGTCATGACAAAATATTTTAAAAGTCAGGGTGATTAAAGAGCAGTGCCTGTGACAAACAGTGTGCAGTGTAAACTAACCTTGATTGCACTTTGCTTATTTGAATGAGGTGGTTAAATACATAAATCTGAATGCACAAGACAAAGAAGGATGCAAATACATGTAGGCAGCTTGCAGAATGGCACAATTCATCAGGTAAGAAGTAATGTTACAAAGTAGAAATTATTATACAGGTTGTGGGGAAGAATTGGTTGTAGTATAAGAATATTGACTTGTTGAGGTTAGTGCTAATTGCAGTTGTGTAGTACATAATTCTGGTCCTGAAGAGGAAATGTTATTGTTTGCATTCAATAAGCTGCTCAAGTGTCTGTGAGGGATTTTTGTGGTGATCGAATGTTGTCTGTTAGAATTGTTGGTTGTACAGTCACAAAAGATAATATGTATATGAGAAAAATAGCTCAATTTTACACTGACATTTCTGTTGGTTGATCAACACACATGCAGTATAATTGTTTCCCTTTTTACTGAATGTCATTAATTATGTATTTTTGTTGATTTATTTGTTGTATATGTATACTAGAGATATTCACACTTTGTATTTTTAATATATTCTGCATACAGACAACTGTGTGTTTGATATTTTCATTGTAGTTTGAAATGAAGCTAAGAATGATACATTCTTGTATTCTCTGTAATCAATAAGGTTTACAGTTTCTTTTGGACTGTATTGGATCAATTGTGTTCCAAGAGTTGTGTTAGTGAAAAAGTGGGAGATTTAGCGAGTTACAATTGTGTTAAATAATTAGACCACACATATCCGAACTGGGAGTACAAGCTTCAAAATTCAAAACTCCGTATATGGGGGAGTATCACAAAGTTAAATTTAATGAAGGGATTTTTTTCTAATGTGAATTGATGGTTGGAACGTGACAATAAGAAGCCTGTCTTTCGTAACACGCTTTATCTTGTAGTATGTTACATTTGTATGTAATCTTATTTGTATCTTGTTTTCCACGTAGCTGTCTGATAAAAGCATTTGTTTTGCTTATAGACTAGAGCATCCTTGGCATTGATGTAAATCTCATTATATGCCATTCTTAGCTGGTTTTGTAACGTGAGTCGTACATTACGAAATTTGATATTTGTGGCATTTTTTTAAAATTTCTTCCATAGCATTAGATGAAGCAATGTTCATTTGTGGTGAATGCCACTAGGTATGGTCTGATTGACCTTCGTGGTATCTACCAAACCTCGGGAGTGGACAGAATCCGTTTCGGAGGTAGAAGCAGCGAGTCAGTTCTGTTCTTTTTCCCCGAGTGGACGCGTTTGCAATGGATCATGTCTTTGTTGTACAAAATTTTTGCCATGTGAGCTGGTGTCAAGATACAGTAGAAATGTAACAAACTGCGGGTGTTAAGAATAACAGGCATTCAAACTATTTTGAGTTATTGTGTTTTGAAAAGTTGGACATTGTGAATTTTGTGGTAAAACTTTTGAAGTTCTGGATTTTGCATCAGTTATTGTCATGGAATAAGGTGGTAGCAAGATCAGAATCTGAGCTTATTTTGTAAACTTGTGAATATCTGAAAATGAAACACCGCCATGTAATAGTTCTGTAGAGAAATTAATTCATGACCTATATAAACTTGTATTATAGGACTGAAGTCAGATTCTTGTATTTCTCGTGCCCCACAGCTAAAAAGATTCTTACAGTTTGGTGTTGCATTTTTTCTTTTACTGTAGATAAAACAATGCGTGTGTACTTTTGTAAAATAATGTTTTGCTAGAGAAGACATCTGTCGGGGGGGGAAGAGTTTTCTGGTCTGAGATAATTTCTTTTTGAATTGTTGGTCGTTTTACGTGATATTGTGGTTGGGTTTGGAGGTCTTCATTTTCCCAAAATGAATGCAAATTTTGAGAGGTTAGGATTTTGCTGTTGTGTCTAAGTTTTTACATGTTCCGTGCTTGTTTAGATTTTTTAGCGGGTGGCATTAACAGTAATAGTAATTACAAACTTAAATGGATGAAAATAAATAAACACGGAAGGAAAAGTTTTAAACTTAGTGGGGAATTATAATTTTTTTGACAAATATCACAGCTTGCCTTCCTGTATCACTGTGTCTGCGGACATCCTGTGTTTTTGGCCATTATTGGTAAAGTGTGTATTTAGAATTCTAATATGCAGTGGAAATGTTTCAGTGGTATATAACTTTTTAATTAGGACTTCAGGAGTGTTATTCCTGTTTTTTTAATCAGAGAGTTTTCCCTCTGCCTGTGCACAAATTTACAAATTTTTATGGGTGGCGTTGAGAGAAAGGTTCAAATTTTAGACCTAGCTTGAGATGGTGATCGGTGAACTTTATGCCATGGGGAAATATCTTCCGGTAGGAGTTTTGGCAGACTGTGCGGCTGGTCTGTTTGTGATGACAAGGATAAAATTCTCTTGCCCTGAATTTCCCTTCTCTCCTGCCAAGTGTATGAGGGGGTTTATTCTAGTCTTTTGTTAAATTTTCATGTTTCCATTTTGACTTTTCTGATAGGACAGAATGAATTGGTTTTCTGAGAAAAAATTACAGAGAATTAATGCTGCAAGCTGATTGTGCAAATTAATAAAACAGATTAAACAAATTGTTAATATAGTTGTGCAAAATGTATGTGATAACGTTTTTGTATGAAGCAGTAATGAAAAAGAATTTATTTTGTTGAGCTTAAGACCATTGCAAGTGGCAGTATCGTACATCTTGATACGGTTTACATTGCTTTCACATGTTTAATGCTTTACATGTAACGGTAATATGAAGTATAGGTAATTCACCTAGCACAGTGGTCCATCGTACACTTCTATGCACCAGAAACTGGTTTTGTAAGTGTATTGAAGAGGTTAACCTAAAAGTGTACATCACATAAAATAGTTACTCCAGATTATGCACGTGGTGCCACATTACAGCATTTATTATGTATATTTTTGAGTAATGACTTGCATTTTTATGTCGCTTTATACAGAGTGTCTGGAAAATAATACTACAAGTATTCTTCATCATTTTAGAATAAAACATAGAGAAACATTTTGTTACCAGGTTATTGTTAAGAGAAGTGAAATGATGCAATTTATGGATGTCACGTGTCAGACAGCAGCTGTCGTATCGGCATTGTCACATTTCTTCAGGCTGCTCGTAATTCACGGGTTACTTATTTATTAATGGTGTTTCAATTGCATAGGTTATGTAGCATCGAGTAAAATGGTTAACCATCTTAAGCCTGTTTTTTCATTGTATAAGGGAAGAAGTTTAAAATGGGCATGCTACATAGAGGTGAGGGTTATGTTAAGGTAGGAATGATTTTCATTCTGCACGGTACCTCTCGCATATGCAGTTTTATTTTAACTTATCTGTAAGAAGTGACTCTAAAAGTGTTTAGTGTTAGTTTCTGGACACTCTGCTTGATATTCCATGAAGTTACCAAGTTGCAAAATACAGACAAATGTGGATCAGTTTACATCACCGTCAGTATGGAGCCAGGTGTCATGTACTGAACTACGTATGATGTTTTTGTTTATATAACAAATTGTTGGTTGTGTTTGTCGGTTTGCTTATATTTCTGTCTAGTACTATTGTATTTTCACTTGTGGATATGACATTAATATTGGTTTTGTGACACAGAGATTCCCATAACATCAGTTGAACTTTTATATTAATCCGTCGTGAAATGCTACCCTACGTCAAGTGAACTTTCACCTACCTGCGTACATTCGTAGCAGTTGAAGTTTTTTATGGAAGAGAAAGTTGGAAGAATTGCTTTATGCTAAGAGAAGGCGTGTTTATCAACAGAACACGTTAGAAAGTATGGTTGATGGCAATGTTCAGGACTTTGTGACAGGGTGGTGGTTACGTATCTTTTGAAGCGTGAACTTAACCCCCTCTCATACACAGATTTTGTTTTTGTCTGGAAGTGTGTTTGTAGTAGAATGATTACCACAGGTTATGGTGAAAGATATTTACCCCTGAAGAAGCACGTTGAAGGGAAAATAATTGCCATAATTGTCATCGTTGGGCTCATATTCCGACAAAATTAATTCACTGCCAGATCTCTGTGGAACCCCATCAAGCTTTAATAACACTAATACAACAATACAAACACAAAGTGTTTTAGAAGTGTAGACTTAGAAGTATTAGTGGCCACATCTAGTTTTCACCTCTGTTTGCATGTGCGTGTGCGTGCGTTTGTATCAGTGTGTGGTTGTGTGCTGGGTACATGCGAGCGCGTTGTATTATATTTGAAGCAGAGATGTGGGTAAGCTGTAATGAAGGACTGTGATGCTCTGTTACAGCGTACTTGAAGTACTTAACGCACAAGTTTAATTCACTTACGTTAGTAACTGTTATTGTCATTGGAAACGAAGGATCTGTTTTGCTAGAGAAATATAGCAATACCCTGAAGCAGTGGGTCACTGTTCCATGTATGTGACTTTCTTAAGCTGTTCTTTAAATTGACAAAATGCCATCTTGAAGTAATTAACTAACACTCCTATTTTATATTATTGTGACTCATATCCAGTATACTGATAAATTATTTATTTGGCTGTATTTCTTCTCAAGTACTTTACCATAAAATAGACCACAGCCACTTCCTTCCATATCCTTCCCATTACGTTATTCAAAATAATATTCACATTTGATGTATAACTTTTGCATTTGGGAGACTGTCGTTAAGAAAATTAAGAAACGAACCGTCATGTTGACTGGGATGAAATATCCCGTAAGGCCCAGAGTCTCTTAACAGCAAATAATCACTGGTGATTCAACCAAGCTACCAACACCTGCTTTTCATGTGGGTAGTTATGTCACTGAAGGACTCTGTGATTATGAAGAATTTGGAAAGAAGTGGCCAGATACTATTTTAAGGTATTTTATCGGAATTTGCTTGAACAAAGTCAGCAAAATTATGTAAAAACCCACTCGGTCCGTGTAGCTGTTATACCAGTTAAGATACATAACTGGTACCTTCTGAATAAGAAGCAGCTGTGCTGACATCCTCACAGTGCATTCCAAAATAGCTGACACTTGCGGATCAAATTTTTTTTTTTGTAGGTAGTCTTTGCCATATGGTAATTTAAATATGGTTACCAGACCATGCAACAAGTTGTTCAAAAAGGTAAAATAATGTTATATCTCTGCCCTCTTTTGAGGCATTTAGGAAACCAGCTAAACCTGGCGTTTGACAGAGGCGTAATGAATTAACATATTATGCTGCCCCACTTGAAATTGAGCAATTTTATAAGTTTTTCTTGTATTTGATAGGAACCTGATTTGAATCTGAGCTGTATAACTTTTCAAGCTCACCCTGAGGTAGGCGTAAACTACTTACTTTAAATTTGTCTCTTGGCTCAGAATTCAGAATCATTCTGCGCATTATAATTTCATGTCTCCATAATTGGTGTACCATCTTGATGCATATTAATATTTGCTACTGTATTCATCCTGGCTGTACCATTTGATACCAGCGTCTGTGATTGGTGAAGTGTTTTTAAACTGTCAGATCCCTCGTTTCAGATGATAAACAGGCTATTATGAAGTATTTTACAGGTGATGGTTATGATGTCTGTCGTAATTCAGAGCTGACAATCCAGGGTCAAAATGTCTGTGCAGCTGTGGTAACAGCTGTGTGAAGCTGAGTGTTAATCTAACTTTTCTTGTCTCCCTTATGTGGGTACCAGAAATAAATCATCATATTTTTAAAATTTTTATCACCAAAAATAATGGTTAAATTGTGACTATTCCTACCTTCCACACAAGTATGGCACTTTTTTGTGCTCAACTGATTGTGTAATTAGTCTTATTGAAGAGTTTAGAAAAGACATTGGTCAGTATTTTTCAGCTCTGTCATCTAAACAACTTGACCCATTTTGCGTCTGGGTATTCAGTTTGCGTGTTTTCCGTGAACAAGCTTTGAGTTTGATATCTACCGTTATTTGGCCTGACAGACCGACCCCTACAGCCGCAAACTATTTTCACTTAAACTTAAAACCTATGAAGTAACATGATTTATCATGTTACCAAAATTTCTTTCCAGTTTAAAGTTTTTATTTTTTCTGTATGCTCTGACTAAATTAATCCCATGTTACTTTCCTTGGGAATTTATTAATACTTTTTGGGCAAACATTTTTTTGGTTTTATAGAACCAGAAATTTCCTTGCTTTTCACAGTAGATCACCATTGGGTCCCATTCCAAGTTGGTTGAATCTGTTTATGTCTTCACGTGTTAATATTGGCCTCCCATCTTGTTGGTCCGTGTCATTACGGATTTCTGACTAAAATCGTCACCGTCCGTGCCGTGATGGGTTAGGTTTAATTGTTTTAGGCGGATGTGTTCTCCATTCTATCCACGTGATAATTACTGCAAATTTTATTTTCAGTCCTTTACTTGTATTTGTGTTGATTCCTTTATTTATCCAGTTATAAATTTCTGCCGATTTGCATTAATATCTTTTTCTTGGTTACGTACCCAGTTTGGTGTACTTTAAAATTTTGTGCAGTGTGTAAACTGATATATTTCCTACTGCACAGTGTTCTTGCGTCTCGTGTCTCCTTCAATTTTTCTCTCTGAATATCAGTTGAGCACAAATGACATAATTTCGTACCGGCGCATGAATGTGAACTTATTTCTGTGAGTTGTAGACTGATAGTTGTTCAGTCTCCTTCGCATTATATTTATACAGATATTGTATTCTGTGAGTCTCATAGGATATTTTGATACATTGAGTAGTGCACAACGTACGAGATTTATTAGTCTATAGCCACTTAGTTGTACGGATGTGGATGTTCAGGACAGTTTTCAGTAAATATTTGTTTTGTCTGGAGTGTGTGTGGGTGTAAAAAACATGTCTATAACACTGGGATGTGCAACTTCTTTTAAAAATTTATTTTGTAAGAAAAATTTCTGGAATTGATTTTAACGATTAAAATTGCGCACGTGTTACAGTGCTTTTGTTGCTTGTCAGATGTGTCCAGCGTTGGATGGGAATGTGATTTTTGACATGTTGGACTGATTTTGAGACATCGTTCTTGTTTTGATTTTAAAATTGTTGCGCCGAGTCTGACAGACTGGATTGTCTCAGTTTACTTCATTTTGATTATAAATTTTCCACATTCCGTCCAGTATTGTGCTGGAACATGATTTCTAGAATCTGGAACAGGTAGTTTTAAGGGGCAAAGACATGTTCGGTACGCTGACCATTACTTTTAACAAATACTATTTGGCATGTCAGAACGCTGATATCTCGTAACAAAAATTTGTTTACATAAATCAGAGTTGCTTCTTATTCTTTGTTTTCTTAATGGCGATTCCATAACGGAATGGACTACATAGTGTTTAATGGCATTGTGATTGTAAATGATGAATAGGTAAGGATGTGGAAGGAAGTGATATTTAAGGTACTATATTTAATTGTGGGAACTCTTTTAATTCGTAACATTCCATGTACCACGGACACTGTAAGTGTGAAGAACAAGTGTTAAGTATTCAAGTGTAGTATTTGTACTTAAATTAGAATTGTCCAACTTTTTCAGGAACTGTAACCATTTTAGTCACATTTTACGTATATCATAAAAGTAATATTTTATACTTGAACGGACTATGATATCACATTTATAATTTTATGATATTGCCTTGTGATGCGTTGAAAATTTAATGTTGCACATGCCTGTGGTAAAGATTTCGAATTTAAAAGAAATTATTATGTGGAAGAGAAACTGTTTTGTGTGTGTGTGTGTGTGTGTGGGTGTGGGTGAAAATATTAAATTTTTAAGGTGCCTCGAAGCCCCTAGAATGGTAGCAACAGCGCAAATACAGCTGTCATGTTCTTCATTAACAAATGAAGTTGATTAATATTGTTATCATATTTTTACTAATTATTTAGAAAATTATAAAATTTTAGACTGTGCGAGTTAGCAGTTTGGAAAATTGTTTATCCTTGGTACTGTTTTGCAAATTACTTGTCTTTTTTTTTTTTTTAAATTTAATTTACCGTAAATTTCAGACTGTATGTGGTGCAAACAACGCAATCAGTTTTCCATTACTTAATCCTTTATTATCCAAACTTTAAACGCATTGTTTCCTTAATATTTGTTAGAAATTATTGTGAATCTTATTGTTACGTATGGGAAGTGAAGTCGTATATCAGGCGGATGCAAATTGGAAGTGTTTAATAAAAGGTTTCCATTTGGGATAATTTAATAACTGGTGGAGATACGATCAACTGCCTTAAACTTATGTCGGAGAAGGGAATTTTGTCACGAGATCCTGGTAACATTTGTTGTTTTCCGATGCTCAGTGTTTGCCTTCTGCTGGAAAACTTCCTTCTTCAGAATCCTGTTCCTGAACTTTGTTGTTCTTTCAGACCGTTATACAGTTACGGACATCTGCCTTATTAATCGATAAGCTTATATCTGAATATGACTCGCCTTGTCAAACCTTTTGGCATTGACCACTCAGTAACCAAACAGGTATGATAATATTAAAATGAATATAAATTTTAAACTTGTTGCAAACACAAATTTCAGGTTTTGGGGGTCAAAGTGCTGAACAGAGTGGGAAGGGAATATGAAAAATAATATGCAGAGGAACACGTTAATTTGTAATATTTGCGTATTGCTAGGGAAATTACATCAAGGAAGATGGGTGGAAAATTCAGCATGAGTCAGTGAAATAAAAAATGCATACAGAATTTTAGTTAGTAACCTTAAGAACATTACTTGTAGGTGGCAGGATAATATTAAAGTGAGTGGAAAAATAAGATGTGAGGATGTGGATTAGATTAAACTATCTCAGGGTACGTTCCAATGGCAGACTTTGGTGAACACAGGTTCCATGAAAGGCAGGGAATTTCTTTACCAGCTAAATAACTGTAAACACTTTGAGAAATACCTTACACCTAGGAGATTTTTGGTTGATTGGTTCTTAAGGGTGGACGATTTTGAGGATATACAGTGGATTTAACTGGCTTATGTTCCTATTTAATGATGTGCTTTGGTATTAGCAGTGTTTTTGGCCTAACTGAAAATATGGCAGTCCTATTGATGGATTATTTAAAATCAAACTTTTATTAAACTCATGTTTTTCTTTCTGTTGATAAAATTTAAAATTTTAACGCAGGCTGTCCATTATATTTTAGCTCGGTGAATGTTGACTGCCATTTGTTTGAAGCCCAGATACAAGTGATAACCCTTTAGCTGTCATTGTTTTCCCTGCAGTCTGGGACTTTGCCACACCCAGGGCAGTCTGATGACCGATACATGTAGCACTCGAACCCAGGCGGGCACTCGTGACTGAGACATGGGTCTTCCACTAGGGCGCATTGTCCATAACCTACGACAGAGATTCACTAGATCAAACAGACATATAGAAATAATTAACATGGTTTATTCGTGATCTGCACTGAAAGTTATCAGAAAATGTTTAATTTTTGTTCGTATCAGCTCAGTATAAACACAGTTTTACACGAAGCTCAAATAAACTTCATAATTCTTCTCAAAAAAGAAAAGGTACATTGCATAAAATTCAGGTCACGTAAAGCTCACAACATTTATTTTCAAATATTACAAGTTAAAATAAGCGTGAAGAATGACATAGCATTTAAAGGCTTACAACATTTATTTTCAAATATTTCAAGTTAAAATAAGTGTGAAGAATGACATAGCATTTAAAGGCTGTCCACTTACTGTCGATACAGATGCTCCCCTTACAGCATCCACCACAGCAGTCTGCATCATCCTCGCACTGAAATCAGGGACATTCGCATATCTCATAATTCGGTACACTTTATGGGGGGGGGGGCTTTTGTAAACATGGCAATGAATCTTTTTTTCCATAAAAACGAGAATAACTTGTCTCGTTCAGTAATTATCATCTGTTGAAGGTACATCTTCCATCATGCTTGTTAAATAAAGATCCGGTTTGTTGCAACTTACCTGTTCCCCCGGAGTCTTGCAATCTTGCGCGGCAGCGGCCAATAACAGGAGACAAATGTAAGGGAGAATAAGGGACATGTTAGATGTAAGAGGCCACAGCGAGCGCACACAACACAATGACGTGTGTGTCAGGTGAAACCAGTTCCATCCAAACTCTGTCTTTTTATCATTCATTATCATATCTTCCTCCTTGTTGAGCGTTGCATAACCTCTGCAGCCGAAAGGGCGTCGTTAAGAAATCCAAGAGTCGGTCACTATATCCAGGGAAATTTTTGAACAAATGTGTTTAAATTCAGATTACAGATGTGTGTAGGTTCAGTATGTGAGTTTCGACTTATTTGGAATGAAATGTTGTGAGGTCCTTGTAACGTATCAGCCTCTAAGGCAGACAGCAAGGTATATTGAGACGTAAGAGTGTGTGTGTTCACACACTGGTGACAATTACACCTAATTAGTCAGGGTGTCCAGGTTGACGAGCTTCTGAGCTGTTATCTTCTTACAAGGGGATCAGCCCTTCAGAGGGTAACGCAGAGAAATGCCCCATGTTCTGAAAGGGTTTCGGAAAAGCAAACTTAATGCTTTTAGCGTGCTTTTGACTCTGTCTGATTATTTCCACCTTTTGTTGTTTCGTACTGGATTTATTCTCTCAAAATTGACACGTTTTCTTTTATTATTATTATTATTCTAAAATTTGATAAAATAACCAATGTCGTTTTCACTGGTCATTGCTGTACTACATGATTTCAGAAAGTGAAATCGTTGAGATACGAGCCATTGTAATTGAGGCTAAGTGGGTGTTTGACTTGATGTTTTCAAGGTTGATGCTGGAGAGAGTGTCATAGAATATTCTATTTTATGATCATTGTACTTTTTCATCATCACATACCCAGCTGAAAAGTCGTCTTTAAGAGGCCCAAATCTCTTGGCATGATGTATGGAGGAGTGGAGGTAAGACTCCACTCCCGGTGTGAGGGAACTGAAGTTTTGCATTGAATGTCACGATTTTAAGTGAAAATTAAATATATCCAACGTTTAATTAAATCGCCGTGAAAGTGCAGCAGAATGCGATTGTAAAATGTCGATAACAATCGAAATGCGTTCAACGGTTTATTAAATTGCTACCAGAGTGCGGCACTGTGTTGTTAAAGCAACTGAAATACAGTCAGTAGTTAATGAAACAGCCAACAGATTGCAGCATCAGACTAACTGTTCCGGCTAGAGTTTCATTATACCTCCTCGATTATCCTAATATCCTGTTGTTTGAACGCCGGTTTCAAATTTGTTCCACAATGACCGACCAACCCGCCTGCTTAGAACATTTGACACCTCTAGTGAATGTCTCTGCTGTAGGCGTTTATCGATTATGAAGCCTCTTCGACAGAAATGTGGTTTCTGTAAATTTTTGGCAGTACTACACGTATTATTTTTACTGGATAATATTAAAACTGATTGAGGTGAAGAAAGTTATAAATAAATTAAATGAGTGGAAGTGTCTCATGCCAGATGTCGCTGTCGTGGTGGTTATGTGAATGTGTTCGATCGGATTTAGTAAGTACAAAACTGTCAATTGTATTTATGGAGTGTCCCTGGTAACTTGGTAAATCAGAGAGTCACGAGGTTTGGCTGGCAGAATGCAGTTATTGGGTCCCAGGCGTCCACTGAGGAATCTTCGTGACGCATTTCAATATCAAATTCAGACGAGCAGGTTAGAGTAGCGGTATCGCTTTGGACACGTATTTGGGATGTGCTCGGTTTGAATCTCGTCGGTGTACCGGCTGTCCTGTCAGACTTTCCGTGATTTTCGTTAGGCTGGCCATGCGAACACCGTTATACTGCCCCCATATTATTTAAATATCGTTCAGTTTTAAGCGCCGATTACTGATTTCATTTGCATTTCGCAAATTTCGTGGTTGTTCATACAATTATTTTTTTTCATTGTAGCAGATTGAAACTGATTACTGATTTCATTTGCGTTTCGCAACTTTCGTGGTTGTTCATACAATTATTTTTTTTTTTAATTGTAGCAAATTGAAACGTCTCGCCAGATTTTCTGTAATGGTCTCAGTTTTTCAGCAATTTCGAATCATAAGAGTGATTTTATAACATCAAGAATCGCGTGATATATCCACACACACACACTGAATCGATTCTAATATCGAATATTTCTTCCAATGTCATCGTACCGATTGATCGACTAATGTCGCCATCTGTGGTCATTTCTGGGAACTACGACTACAGCAAAATATTCATGTTTTTTTCAGAGTCGTAACGCGGTTTTGTTGAACACCCCTGGCTATAATAATTGTTGCTGCATGAACTGAGTGTTTCTAATGACGATCACGCTGTGGGGTGTGTGCCGTGGCAGGCAAGCGTTAAGTCATTTTGTGTCGACGACTTTTTAATGAACGTTATTGTTGTGAACAGTCACCGCGGGTCCGCGCAACAGCGGCTCGAGTCGCTTTGCGTGTTGCGCGTTGGGGACATCGAGTCTCATCTCAGCAGCTGCGGTTCTGACATCTATACGAAAGGTTACGAGTTAGAATCGTCTTGATTCTTTGTTGTTGTTTTTTTAAAAAAACACGACTTTTCAGAGACTGTGGTCTGTTTCTGTCCTCATTTGGCCACAAACGATGGAGCTAGTCCATTATCTCTGTACGAAAATAAAAATTACTGTTTTTTTTACAATTTAACCTTTAAAATTTAATACAAGCGACAGAAAGATTAGATATTCTGGAGCCAGCCTCCCACAGATTAAATCTTTTCTTAAGTTTGTTCTTGAATGAAATTTCACTTGCGAAAACATCGTTTTCATAAAATTCTTTTCTCGCAGACAGGGAAACCCGCGACAGGTTTCTGAGCAACTTATGCCTGTCTTGCGGTCCTCCATTCGTGTGAGTAAAGAAACAGACCTCAAGCCATCGACAGGAGCGTAATGAAAACACGTCTTTTATTTCCGCTGGTAAATAACTTTCATTTTCAATTCTGACTTACTGTAGAATGAATGAGGGCGACCTCAAGTGAAGGGGCGAGACATGTAGTCGTCTCTTTATAAAAAAAGTGGAGTCGTGTGACTGAAGCGTGGTCTTATAAGACACAGTCTGTGTTACTTTGTGTAAGGGAGTCAGTTCGGAGGCTAAAACCTTATCTGGATCTGAAGTCAGATGATGATAAATCAGTTTATGTTTTATTAAGAACATTTTATGGTTCATACATTGAAGGGAGGATACCACTTGGAAGACGTACGTAGATGGGAGGATAATATTAAAGTGGTTATTAAGGCTGTAGATTGTAGGGTAAAATCCGGTGGCCGGTTTTTATGAACGACGGAAGGAGTCTTAGGATTCTGTAAACGACAGGGAATTTCTTGACTAGCTGAGAAACTATTCTATTTTATGGAGTAAATTATGCATAACGCATTTATTGCGCGCGGAAAATTTTTAAAGTTTGTTCCAGAGGGAAAATTCCGAATTTTGGGCAGTTCAGAATTGTTCACGAAATTTAAATTTTATTGGTTGTTTGTTTCACTGAAATACACGCTCAGGGTTTAAGACGGAGGCGAGTCTTTTTTTTTTTTCCTTTGCGACATATGTATAGTTGTACACCCACAATCGTCAGAAGCAAAACGCATTCCGGTGGCTTTACAGTAGCCAGGGCTTCGCCTTCTGTCCCCGCTTGAGAAGCGATCTGATCCTTCACAAAATCGCGGACTCAAGAGCGGGTGAAATATCGCGGAAGCAATTAAAAGGGACGTAAAACTCCGCTCGATCAATCAGCGGGACAGGGGTGTACAGAACTAGGTCAACACGCGAAGGAAAAATAAGGGAGGTTTCTGGGGGAGGGGAACGGGCGAGATCAACGAGAATCAGAAGAAGAGATGATAAAAATTAGAAAGAGAGATAAATAAGACGGAACGAACAGAATTAAGAGTAAGTAGAAATAAAATAAATAAATAAATATGAATTTAAGTCACCTTTTACCTCCAAGGACAGCTCAATTCTCGTACCGACCTTACAGTAATTTTTCCTGCAACTCTTAGGTTAATCGAGTAAGTCTGAAAACTTTGTGCCAACGAATCAACTGAGCAAATGATCAACTAATTCAGTGAAGCAGAGTCCTTTGATAATACGCGCAGCTGCTAATGAAATTCCCCGTCTTTTGTAGGACCGAAACGTTCATTATCGCGTCCACAAGAGCCCGCCACCGGTCCCTGTCTCGAGCGAGATGAATCTAATCTACAATCTCCACTCCGATTTCCCTGATATTTATTTTATAATATTATTCTCCCGTCTACGCTTAGGTCTTTCAAGAGGCCTGTTTTATTCAAGGTTTTAATTAAAAATTTTGTAGGCATTTATCATCTTCTTATGGTCTGTCCATTGTGATTTTATCACCGTAATATTTGCAGGAGTACAAATTAAGGGGCTATTTGTTATGTTATTATTTTAAACCTCCTGTCGCTTAGTCCCTTTTAATCCTGAATATTCTTCTCAGACGCCCTCAAATATTTTTTGTCTTCCAACATGAAAGACCAAGTTTCACACCCATACAAAAACAATGTAGTAATTGTAGATTTGTGTCTTGTTAATTCAGAACTGCGTGGAGCTCATTAATTTGTCTGCGTGTTTTTTTGGAGACTTATCTCGCCTCGCTATCGATCTGTATTATTTTAATTATTAGAACGGACAATCGACAAAACTACTCGAACCCGCCCCCTCTTAAATACGAAGCAGTCATGACAGAAATTCCACAGAGGTGCGATCTGGTGTCGAACCTGTTAACTTCATCTTGCCGCGAATTCTCGCACATTGCGAGGTATGCGAGATTAATTACAGACTGAGCCACCAATAAGAAGTTGCTGCCTCGGAGGAACTGGAGTGGCCTGCTTGTCGGATCTCGTACCTCGCCTAACTGCAGGCTATCTAAGCGCAAGCTATTTGTCTTAAAATAAACTGTACTTAAATAATGAAATGTGTTTTCTATATATCTCGCGTTTAATAGAATCTCTCCATTGATGTAACGAGCGTGTCAGACCAATCTTCTTTTTTTAAAAAAAAGTCGTGTGCAATGAACGCACTAACAGAACACTTTTCCCTCTGAACCGAGACATGATTGTTAGTGTTGTTTTATTTATTTATTTAGTGTTCTGTCTGACGACAGGTCCATATGAACAGGATCCTTCCATCCTTTTCTCTTCTCGGACTGGGACCTGTTCATATACGTTCTTGGCAGATGATCCAGAAGTGGTTTGCCATTGCCTTCTTCTGTGTGTGAATGGAGTAATTGTTGGGATGCCACGGAGGAAAACTCCGTGTTGCCTAGACCACGGCCTTGCCCAACACAAGTTATAAATTCGGGCACCGCCGGGAATCGAACCCGGGACCCAGCGTTCTGACCGCTGGACCACCGTGGCTTATGTTATTGTTGCACTTGGGGAAAACAAGCAATTATTTAATACTTATAATTAAAATGCGATTGTAAAACTGCGTTCCGTACCTCTACCAATGACATAAAAATGCAAAAGAAAATCTACCAGTACGACAATGACCTGAAGACAGGAGTAGAGCCAGCTGTCGAAACGTTGTGTGTATTAATACGAGTACCTCAGATAATGAAGGGTCACAAACATTTATTAAAACATTTGAAAGGGTCGCAATCATTT